GGGTAACGGGTGTAGTGCTTCCCCTTTTAAAACTGCCGTCTCTGCGCCTTTCAAAGAGGCAGCCGCGGAGCCCAGGGACTCCCCAGCTGACCCCAGGGTTCCACAGCTGCCCCTTTGAAAGGCTCACAGGTGACATTTCAAAGGGGCACCTGCCGCACAGCTGATTCGCGGAAATACCCCCTTCCTCCCCTTTGCTGCCTCTCTCATATAGAGGCAACAAAGGGGTGGGGGGAGGGGAATATCGACTAGTCGACTAGTCAAAATACTATAGGATAAGCAAATGCTTAACAGATAGTCGACTAATCGACTAGTTTTTGTCATCCTTAGCCAGCACATTTCAAAGGGGCACCTGCCGCACAGCTGATTCGCGGAAATACCCCCTTCCTCCCCTTTGCTGCCTCTCTCATATAGAGGCAACAAAGGGGTGGGGGGAGGGGAATATCGACTAGTCGACTAGTCAAAATACTATAGGATAAGCAAATGCTTAACAGATAGTCGACTAATCGACTAGTTTTTGTCATCCTTAGCCAGCACATCAGGTGCTCAGAATCACAGCAGTGCTCTGCCCATCTCTAGACTCCCCTCAAAGGATCTCTAAGCCCTCGGCACCACACAGCCCTCTCCAAGGCAGGAATTAGCCCCATTGTTCAGAAGGGGAAACTGAGGCACGGGAGGTCACCTAATGGTAAGGCGGAGAACAGAACCCAAATCTCTTGAGTCCCACGTTTTAACCAACTGTGCCCCAGGCAATGGGACTGAGCTGCTCTAGCGACTTAGCCTTCTCTGTTCAGCTGGGGCCTGGGATACTGGTCGGAGACCTTACCCTGCCTCTTATAGCCAGCTTCCCTGCGTTGGCCACAAGCTAACGCTGCAGGGGCAGGACTCACCATGGTGAAGGGCATGAACTGCAGGATGCTCCCCCGGCTGCCCTGCTCCAGGCAGTCCACACACTCCTCCATGAACCACTGCACGAACTGGGTGTGCGTGCCGGCCGTCTTGGCTCCCAGGATGGACGAGATCAGCAGGGAGAGGGTGGCTGCGCAGCGTATCAGATCGGGACCCTCAACGGGCTGGGTGGGGCCAACAGCAGCTGGGCACTGGGGTCTCCTTCCAAAGGGCTGGGGGTGGCAGGGCTGCCCCATGCTCGCCCGCTCATGGGCACCTCAGTCTGCCCGGGGGAGTCAGGCAGCGCAAGCAATGGTGGATCATTCACCACCGGAAGAGCTTTGCAGCAGAAATTATAGCGTATCAGATCGGGACCCTCAACGGGCTGGGTGGGGCCAACAGCAGCTGGGCACTGGGGTCTCCTTCCAAAGGGCTGGGGGTGGCAGGGCTGCCCCATGCTCGCCCGCTCATGGGCACCTCAGTCTGCCCGGGGGAGTCAGGCAGCGCAAGCAATGGTGGATCATTCACCACCGGAAGAGCTTTGCAGCAGAAATTATACCAAGCCCAGCCAGCACTTGCTGCCACCGCCGCTGGGAAGGATCCATGCTGTGAGCCGGCCTCCCCGGCGGGAGGGACACCCGCCCAGAGGAATCGGAAGGAGCAGCGACTGGGAAGGCAAGGCCAGCTCAGAACGGAATCTCCCTGGCAAGCCCGTACACTGCCCCACCAGGGGCATCACAGCGCGTCCGGGGGCAACTCTGCCTCTGATGCATCCGGCGCTGCAGGCAGACCCCCGGCCTGGCAGGCCAAAGCCACGCCGGTTCCAGGCCTCTGCTGCTGGAGAGCCTCCTTACCCACCCTGGGACTCACCAAGGACTCTGTTGAGAGGGTCCCTCATGCTGACGGTGTGGAGCTGGGAGGCCGACAGCGAGCTGCTCATGGACCGATCTGCTGCGGAAAACACACCACGGTCAGGATGGCAGCTGAGTAACCCCCCCTTCCCCCCCCCAAGTGGCTGTGCTCAGCCGCAGCTCCCGGCTCCGGAGAGGGAGCGTCACTTTCGCCCCAGGCGAGGTCTGGGATTGCTGCCCCTTCCTAACCTGAATCCAGCAGGGACCAGGGAAAAAGCCAGCCAGACATGGACCCTCCTGTGGGTGTGCTGTGCCCTGCCCTTTGAGGGGTCCCCCTCCACCCACAACGGGGGGCAAATAAGATGCCTTCCCCCAGCCCCTCGTTTATTGCTCCAACAGAGGGGTACTCGGACGCTGTGGAGCAGGAGCCAGACTAGCGATCAGCGTTACCCCAAAGCGCCATGACGGCGTGAATTCACTTTCATTTCCTACAATCTACCGTCTGTTTGAGAGAGTTGGTGTCTGTTGGTGTGTCCGTCTGTCCATCCGTTTGTTCAAGAACCCCTGCTAAACGGCTAAGAGCCAGGAATCCCAAATCTGGTAGGCAGCTTCCTCTGCTCCTAACTTAAAGCCAGGTCAGGGATTGGTTGTGCCAGGACAATGGGATGTGCCTAGAATGGGACTGGTTTTCATCAAACGGAAAGGGAGGGCTGTGATAGAAGGGACAGTTATACTCACATATGACCACAAGGGGGCAGCAAACACTCGTGCCTTCAACAGCCCTGGAGCAGCCGCTGGCTGGCCAGCGCAGCCCCCATGATGCTGGGCTAGCTCCAACGAGCAACGCTGCCAGCCAGGTTGTGTGGCCCCTGCCACCAGGCTGGCTCTGGGGGCAGCTGCTGGCTTCCCCCACCCTCTGCCATGAGTCCCCTCACAAGCACACTTCCCACCTCCTGCCCGGACTCCTGCACCTCCTACCACCTGCCAAGCCTCCCCCCTCTCCCGCCCTTCAGGTGCTCATGGGACTTTCTGAAACCAGCAGGACTGGCAAAGTTTAACAAAGTTTATTAGATGCACCTGTCATTATTTCCCCAGCAATCCGTGCCAGATTTGGTTTGAGTGGTGGCTCTGCACCAACCCGCAGTCAAATCACGATTAACACAAAGCAGCAGACGATTTCTACAGGGCCTTTCATGCCAAAGTACTTGACAAAATTCAACTCATGCCCAGGAGGTTGCCTGTTCCAGAGCCTACGCGCCCTGCTTGTAAGGAGGCAGAATTCTGTATCAGACACAAAGTTTGACCGAGACACTAGAGTGACCCCTGAAACTCTTGGGCAAAGGACCATGGGATCTAGAATAGCCAAGGCCGTCTGAACCTCAGGGTTACAACTCAGCCAAAAGACGGCCCATTGGACAACACAGCACAACCCACCCCCCTTGTTCAGTGCTGGATAACAGCATGTCACATGTTGGCTCGTCAACCTCACTTCCTACACCAGCTTCAATTTTCCCTGGAGGTCTCGCATCCAACTATCGATTGGGCCTAACTGCCTGGCTTCAGAGAGCACGCAGGCTTGGACAGCTGGCTAAGGATGATCATAAAAAGCATCTTCCCACGCAAACAGCTCGAGAGTTTCGGGTCACGTCAGGAAACAGGATTTACAAATCACTGCTCTGTCATAGCGAATAGAAAAATTCCTAAATGTTGCTGAAGAGACACACTGAAAGGAAGTACAGGAAAGACAGTGAAATAAGGGGAAAACCATACAGGCGGCCACGTGTGTCTGAACAGCAACAAAACCATCAGAAACTAGAGGTTTAAAGAACACGTGCAGAAAGCAAACTAATCAACAGACCGATGGGGCTGAAGAGTTGCAAGAGCATCTCTGATTCACCTCAGATGAATCTGCACAAGCATATTTCTGACCTGTAACATCCTGCAATCTATTACACTCCCTCTGGATAAGTCAAGAGCCCAGGATGCATTTCCTGTTGGCTCTGTTGCAACCATTATTCATCCACACACCAACCATAAACCGTTATGTTAAAGGAGACTTACAAGGGGTTCTTGCATTTCGCTTCCTTTAGTAAAAGCCACTTCACATGCTTCCATATTTACCGGCAGGAGCTCAGGTGGAACAGAGGTGTGTGTGTGTGGGAGGGCGGGGGGAGGCAGGGGTCTCTGATGCTGACAGAGATCTTCAGCCCCTTGTGCAAAGGGCGGAAGTGATGAAGATTTGACCAAACCCTTCCTTATTCCAGTCATGCATTATAAGGCAGAAAACTGCCCAGTTTACACTGCTGCTCACCTATGCGACCTGTTTAGTGAAGTCTCTAAACCTTCCTTGACTCCCTCTCCATCTAATTCCCCAACTGGGGTGACAGCACCTCCGTGTGCCAGGGGCTGTGGCTTTCGGAAATTCTCCTCCAAAGATGCTGGGCGCTATCTGCTGATCACTGCTATGGAACTGCTGTGCTACTAACCAGAGGTGGCTGCATTGCGTGGGTAGGCAGGGGAGTCAAACTGCGGAGAGAGCTGGAATCCATAAAGTGCTGAGCACACCCACTGCCAGGCATGTCAGCTGCCCGGAGTCAGGAGTGAGAGACACTTTGAGCTTATACAGCAGTTGGCACATTCAAATGTTACGCAACCAGAAGATTTGCTCGGCTTTGCTCGGGTCCTCAGCTCAGGTACGGTGTGTGTTTTGGAAAATAAAATGACAATGTCCAGGCTGCATTTGAGTCGTCGCTCTGGGGTGGGGCTGGAGAGGAGGGGGTCAGTTTGCAGACTGCCCCAGGGAGAGAGGCACCTCTCCATGGCTGCTGCAGCTCCAGTGGGCACAGCCAGGGAGAGGGGCATGTCTCCTGGCCAGGGCAGGTCCAGGCTCACCTGCCTCCTGCCCTCTCCAGCAAGAGTGAGGAATGCAGCAAACTGGGCACTTCCCCCTCGCTCCCGCATGAAGGGGAACAGCCGGCAACGTTCCTGTTCTAATCAGAGGAGGGAGCCTTACCCCCCCTTCCTAAAAGGCGCCGGGGGGAGGGGGGGAAGTGGGTCGGAACACAAAGCAGTCTGGGGTGGGGGGAGGAGCCAGTCTCTTTCACCTGCCTGAGGGGAGGAGCCAGCCTCTTTCACCTGCCTGGTGATTCAGTCTCTTTTCTCTATGGTTTTATGAGAACCAATCTCATTCCAGGCCCGTCCCAGTGCCCTGGCACAGCCAAGCCCTGACTCTGCGTTAAGTTCGGGTCAGAGGAAGCTGCCTACCAAGCTGGTGGTCCTAGCTCTTACCGGTTAGGAGTTCTTGGACAGACAGACAAGACTCTCTCGAATGTATTCCAGATGAACCCGTGAGGCAGGGAGGTCAGTTTCAAAGCCCCTCCCCCCCGACCAAACCGAGGCAATGAAGTGATGGGCGGAGGCCAGGTATCATCCGTGCCCGAGTCAGGAACTGATCTGGGGTGCCGCCCCCAAGCCAGCCCCCAGGCCACGTGCCTCTGGGAAGTGCAGCCACAATGTCACTTACTAGGGCTGGACAGAACATTGGCTTCCTCCTCGTTGGAGCTCAGCAGGCGCATGAGCTTGGAGGGCTGGGTGTCGTCCAGCGGGAACAGGCTGATGTAATCCTGGGGAGGGGAAAACAGAAGATCCGACACATCCACTCCGTTGCAAGGCAGGGCTGGTGCTCTCTGTGCCACCCCCAGCACCAGGAAGGTCTCCTGGCTTGGCTGCAAGCCACGCCGGCCTCACCGCGGCATCCCTTCTGGGGGGTGGGCGCAGGCATGTGGCCAGGTTGGGGGGAGCTTGCATGGCAGCAACCAGAAGTGTGGTCCAGCCCCGTGTGGAGCAAACACCCAACGCACACGTGCAAAAAAGGAAGAGACTAAACTTCACCAGCCAACTCCAAAGTGTCCCCAAGAGGGCAGACCCCCCCTTTATTAGAAACCCAGCTCTCTCGAAAACAACCCGGCTTCCTGCCCACCCCGAGTGGCTGTTACAAGGGTGTGCCCAGACAGACACTGTCCATACGACATAGATCCATGCACCCTCCTCCCAAGGCATCCCGCTCACTTTACAACCCACCCCCATACCTCAATGTCCTCTCGGTGCCTCTTCTTCTGTCTGGCCGACGCCTGGCCCTTGTTGTGGGAGGAGTAGGAGCTCAGGGCACACCAGACAGACAGCCTAGTGGGAGAACCGGGGAAAAGGAAAGCCACGTGAACTGCAGGGGCAGGTTCCCTGGATTCAGTATCCTTCCCTGTCCGATTTGCACCTCAACATCACAGCCGACAGTGAGCAAGAGGGGGGCAGAGTCATCGTTAGCAAGTGCCCCCAAAAGGACCCAGCAGCTAATCCCCCGCTCCCCAGCTCTACCCCACTCACAGAGTCCAGGATATTTCATGCCTCCTGCTAGCTGCTAGCCCAGTCTGATTGGCCTGGTCATAGCTTTGAGGGAAGGGGCAGTGCGCAGAGCAGACGACTGGACAGCAGGACGCCTGGTTCTAGTCCCAGCCATGCCACCAACTTGCCAGGAGAGCGGGGTCACCTCCAGCAGGGAACCCCCGTCCCTAACTGTGCCAAAAGGCCCCAGGCGTTCCCTTACTTGGCAAGGGCCTTGCCAGGCGGGTCCATCAGGGTGTGCCACTTGGAGGAATCCGTGAGCAGGCTGGGCAGGATGTGGCCCAGCAGGGATAACGTCAGCTGCTGCATGTCCAGGCAGAAGATGGAGTAGAGCAGCTCCACCGCCCGCAGCGTGTGCTCCTTGCGGGTTTCCTTCAGCAGCTCCTGCAAGGAGACGGGGTGGGACAAACCATGGAGCGGGGACGGGACTAGCAGCCCCAGAGCTCCTGCCACGGATACCGGTGGCCACAGTGGTCACTCCCTCACCTTACGCCAGCCAGGGTGCCCGCCTCAGACACAACCCACACACATTATGTGTGCACCTCCGGAAAGGGCGGCCACGGGGAGGCAGTGTAACATAATGGTTAGAGCGGAGCTCTGGGAGTCACGCCTCCTGGATTCCACTCCCAGCTCAGCCATCAATTTGCCATTCCTGCCCCCCTCTACACACCCGTGCCTCAGTTTCCCCACCTGCAATGCATACGTACCTTGACTAGGTTGTTGCAGAACCAGTAGACGCCCCCCATGTGCAGCAGCGTGTCGAAGATGTGGATGGAGCGACTGTCCACCCAGCCCTTCTCCAGCACCTTGGTGAACACGCCCGTCAGCACCTCTTTGATGGGCTTCTTTGGGGGCAGCAGGTTCCAGTAGGGGATGGGGTCCGTCCCCGTGGAGGGGAAGCGGATCTGCGTGGCTGTCTGCTGCAGGACGTCGGCGCACATGTGCTCCAGGATGGAGCTCATAATCACCACGCTGGGAAGCGGAGACACGCGGAGGGGGCAGAATGAGAGAGCGCCCGCGCCCACAGCCCGACTCCTCCCCTCCCACTCAGGCGCCTCCCCCGGAACATCCCTGGGGCAGCTACTCTTGGGAAAACACTGGTGCTTCTTTGATTGCAGCAGCTCGAGGAGGAGGAGAAGCCAGCCCTGTGCGGCCGGCCAGCTCTCCAGGGCCCAGCTAGGGAACCGCTGGCACCAACTGGCTCTGCTCTAGCTAGTCCTGGCTGACAATGTAAATTAAGTTGTCATGGGATAAGAGGGAAGGTCCTTTCATGGACTGAGAACTGGTTAAAAGTCAGGAAACAAAGGGTAGGAATAACTGGTAAATTTTCAGAATGGAGAGGGGTAACTAGTGGTGCTCCCCAAGGGTCAGTATTAGGACCCATCCTATTCTACATATTCATAAACGATCTGGAGAAAGGGGTAAACAGGGAGGTGGCAAAGTTTGTAGACGATACTAAACTGCTCAAGGTAGTTAAGACCAAAGCAAACTGTGAAGCACTTGAAAAAGATCTCACCAAACTGAGTGACTGGGCAACAAAATGGAAATGAAATTTAATGTGGATAAATGTAAAGTAATGCACATTGGGAAAAATAACCCCAACGATACATATAATACGATGGGGGCTAATTTAGCTACAACTAGTCAGGAAAGAGATCTTGGCGTCATTGTGGATAGTTCTCTGAAGACGTCCACGCAGTGTGCAGCGGCCGTCAAAAAAGTAAACAGGATGTTAGGAATCGTTAAAAAAGGGACAGAAAATAAGACGGAGAATATCTTATTGCCCTTATATAAATCCATGGTACACCCACATCTGGAATAGATGTGGTCTCCTCATCTCAAAACAGATATACTGGCATTAGAAAAGGTTCAGAGAAGGGCAACTAAAATGAGCAGGGGTTTGGAACGGGTCCCATATGAGGAGAGATTAAAGAGACTGGGACTCTTCAGCCCAGAAAGGAGGAGACTAAGGGGGGATAGGATAGTGGAGTGATGTGGAGAAAGTGAATAAGGAAAAGTTATTTACTTGTTCCCATCACATAAGAACTAGGGGCCACCAAATGAAATGAATGGGCAGCAAGTTTAAAACAAATCAAAGGAAGTTCTTCTTCACACAGCGCAGTCAACCTGTGGAACTCCTTGCCTGAGGAGGCTGTGAAGGCTGGGACTAGAACAGGGTTTAAAAGAGAACTAGATAAATTCATGGAGGTTAAGTCCATAAATGGCTATTAGCCAGGCTGGAATGGCATCCCTGGCCTCTGTTTGTCTGAGGGTGGAGATGGTTGGCAGGAGAGAGATCGCGTGATCATTACCTGTTCGGTTCACTCCCTCTGGGGCACCTGGTGCTGGCCACTGTGGGCAGACAGGACACTGGGCTGGATGGACCTTTGGTCTGACCCAGTCTGGCCGTTATGTTCATACAAACCTAACATCCAAAGAGTTGCTATCACGCCTCTAGTGCCAGAGAGCCCTCTCCTCCCCTCGGGAGACCAGGCCCCAGCCCCATGGCTCCCGCCCCCCGGCTCACCGCTCATTGTAGAACTGCAGCGTGTTCTCGCTCTGCAGGGACGTGGCCAGCTGCCGGATCATCTGCAGCGACTTGTCTCGCTCGTCCAAGCCCAGCATGCGGACGTGGGCCACCAGCCAGGCCATGGCGCACACGGCCATGCTGCACACCTTCCCTTTGATGTTATCCGTGATCTTCTGCGGGCGAGACAGGGGGAGGCGGCTGAGATGCTGCACGAGACGCACCTGCCCCCCCGGCTAAAGACACTGCTCCCTTCCACATCACTGGGGCTGAAGGGACAGAGCCAAACCCACCCCCCGGTGCAGCTTCATCCATTTCAGGGGGGATGAGTCCAACTCCCGGGCTTGTCCAATGCCAGGCAAAGCACTGCAGAGTGGGGTGGGGTCATCCAGCTGGAGAAACTGAGGCACAGAGAGGTGCAGCTCCTTGCCCAAGGTCACAGGGCCAGCAGCAGGTCAGAGGGCAGGGAGCAAGGCAGGTTTCTGGAAGTGTCACCTCTGGAGCTAAGTGCTGACGGGCAGGAGCCCCCCTTCGCAGTCAAGTGTCATGGGATGGGGGGGGGAGAGCTCCCCGCAAAATCTGGACCCAGCATCGCAGGGCGAGGGAGAGCTGAACTCTGTCCTAACCGAGAGTTTACACCCGCACCCGACGTTCCTGGCAGGAGACACTTGTGAAGGCTGAGCACGCGGATCCCACTTAGGAGGTCCCAAGCGGGATTCCTGTGTCTCAGTGAAACGCTGCCGAAGGGTGCTGGACAGCCGTTCTAGACAGACTTTTACAGGCCTGGTAACCCGGGGTTCTCTGACTCCCACACGTCCCCCCGTCCCCCCGCCGAACCCCTGCGGAGGAGCAGTATCCAGAGCAGGAACCGCGTTCCGCCCCTGGGACCAAGGAGGGGGACGCTGGTACCTGCCCGAGGGGCGACTCTGCTGTGGACATTTGCCAACCTGCCCTCCGGAGACACCCGGCCCAGGGGTGTTTGGGCCTCGGCTCTACCCCGGCCGGGGAGGGTGGATCGAGGGGTACGGGGAGGCGCCAGCGCGGCGGTACCTGAATGGACTCGAAGGTCAGCACGCCGTTCTCCCAAGCATTGAGGATCTCCAGGATGGCCGCCGAGATGCTCAGACACGCCTCGTGCCACTTCATCTGCCTGCCGGGAGGGGGGGGGGGGGAGAAACAAGGGAAACCTGGTGAAGGGCCCCGGAGCCGCGTCAACGTTCACTCGCGCCCCTCCCTGCCCCGAGAGGCAAGTCAAGTACCGGCGGCAGCCCGGGGGCCTGCGGGAGAGCACCGCAGCTGGCCCTCCGCCCCGGCAGGGTTCTGCGAGCTGTTCGGGAGGGGCAAAGCCTCCCCCCTTTGGGACCCTAGCTCAGCCCCGGCTGGGTTTCAGGGTCCATGGGTCCCCGCCCACCCGGCGCGACGTACACCAGCTTCATTTCCGAGGAGCTGTTCAGCAGCGCCACCAGCGACTCCACCTTGGTCGAGTCGGGCCGGAAGCAGGGGTGGTCCGGGTTGAGGATCTTGCCCTCCTCCGGCATGCAGGTCTGCATCCAGGTCTCGAAGAACGGCACCTCGCCAGTGGGGCTGGACTCCGAGAGGATCACCTGGAAAGAGACCCCCTTAGAAAACCGGGGCCGGAAAGCAGAGCAGCCCAGCCCACACGCCGCTTGCAGCCGAGGCCACGGCAGCACCGAAGGGCCGATGGGGCTGGTGCTCGGTGGAAAGGCAAAGCCCCGTGGTTCCGGCCAGTTCCAATGCGGAGAGTTATGCTCTGCCCTCCACCTGCCAATCTCCCCTGGGATTCTCCTTCCCTTCCCGTTGCACAGCTCCGCCCCAGAGGTGGCTGCATTCGGAGTGGAAGCAGATCCACCAGCCCCTAGAGATTCTTGAGTGCACAGAGCCCCCGGATCAGTCTAAGGAGCATCCCTCACTTCCCTACATACTAATTACTCCAGGACCCTGGCGACGTTTCGGACAATGCACCTGTGCCCAGGAAATCCCGGCAGCCAAGGACTGTCCTGGGCAGGTTTGCTGGCACGTGGAATTTCCGCAAGGTCCCCCGGTCCAGCGCACAGCAAGTCTAAGCCTCTCTACAGACACCAGCACACAGCATGGGGGCGTTAGGAAGCGGGGCCGGGAGAGGAGCCAGGCTCTCTGCCCAGCAGGTTCAGGATAGGAGGGAAGTACCAGACCAGTAGCTGCAAGGGAGCCCTGAGATCATGCCAGGGACTCAGCCAAACCAACTCGCAACTCAGGATTAAACCAAAAGAAACCTGTGGAGGGAGGAGCCATGCCCCACCCGAGTCCTGTTTCACTAGCCCCCCCCCTCGCCTTGCCCAGGTATCAGCTCCCTTTAACACTCCCGGCAGGCAGGTCTGGGTGTGCGCGGCAGGGCGAGCCGTCTGCCAAAGGGCTGGGAACAGTTCGGGCGCAGGCTGGGCCTATGGCAGCCCCCCGGGTCGCGGGCAGAAGTCCGCCCCCATAGAGCTGTGTGGCTTTAGGCTCTCCAAAGGGGGAGACAGCTCTAATTCCAGAAGGGGTTTTCCCATTCAGAACACAGGAGGCTGAAGCAGCACTGGATTGTGCCACATGGCTGGTTCCAAGAATTCCTGGATGTGCCCCAAAGTGCATACAGGGATATTACTGGGCACGTTCCGGGCACCTCCCACCTGGGCCCCCTGAGACATCACAGAGAGTAAGCCAGCCCCAAGCCCCCGGGAGAGACATTTTAGATTTGCGTTAAGCCACACCAAAATGCAGCCGTCTCTGGGGTGACACACGGCAGCTGGGCAGCGGAACCCAGCAATGCTGCACAAGTGTTCCGGACGGGAAATAATTAAAGCAGCCAGTTGATGTCATGGGGGGAGTTTAACAGCAGCCTTTTGCTCTTTTCTATCCCTTTCCATCCCTGGATCTCACAATGCCTTGCACACACTAGTGAATTAATCCTCCCTGGGGCAATGCTTCCTCTCATCTTTTCCACCCACGTGCAGAATAAATTTTTGTACGTGCACTGCGGCCCATGGGAATGTGCACCGCCAAGAGAAACACAAAAGCTAGCTGTGGGCGCTCGGCTAATCAGCTGGGCGGCACTGGAATTTCTCCTGAGCGGCCACGCAAGCGCCCAGATTACAGGGAACACTGCCCACCACAATCCTAGGAGGCGGGCAGTAGAGACTGGGAAACTGAGGCAGAGAGGCAGGAAGTGGCTTGTAGCAAAGCTAGGAACAGAACCCTGGAGTCCTGACTACCCCGGCCTAGGCTTTAACCACACGGTCATGCCCCAGAAGGTAGAAACAGGGAGGCAGAATGGGCATCTGCCCAGGATAGAAGGGTTAACTCCCCAAACACAAACGTGCTTCATAGCAGAGAGTTTCCTGTAACCGTTCCTGCAGCTGCCCACTGTTAGACCTGCCTGCTTAGGATAGCCTAGGACAACGCTTACCCAGCAGGCCCTCTGGGCCAAATGGGTGAGAGACAGACCGCCCCACACCCCGCCCCGAATCACACAGGAGCCTGGCACAGACAAGTGAAAGAGCTGATGTTTCTTAGCCAGCGTTAGCGCCTTCTTTTCATGAGCCTGGACACATTATCTGTGGTTGCACAGCGCCCCCCGGTGGGCATCTTCATATCCAGATCTCTGCCCGAGTATAAAACCGGAGCCGGGTGGGTGAGAGACAGACCGCCCCACACCCCGCCCCGAATCACACAGGAGCCTGGCACAGACAAGTGAAAGAGCTGATGTTTCTTAGCCAGCGTTAGCGCCTTCTTTTCATGAGCCTGGACACATTATCTGTGGTTGCACAGCGCCCCCCGGTGGGCATCTTCATATCCAGATCTCTGCCCGAGTATAAAACCGGAGCCGGGTGCCGGGCTCCTGTGATGTTCCAGCGCTACGCCACCTGCCCGCACTTTGTGGGTCTGACGCATGTGGCAGGGGAGAGGGAACGCGACAGCTGCCGAGGAACCGGGTGGGTTGAGCCCAAGTTGGGAGCATCCCCCTGCAGGACACAGCCCCCCAGAGCTCAGCCTGCAGATGAACCATTCCGCCAGGCCCAACAGCCTCCCCTTGGGGGTGTCCAGCTGGCAGCACCGTGCCTGGATTTTCACAGCGCAGAGCATCTGCCTTTCACTTCAGCTGGGGCCTGGGCTGCCCTAGTCAGGCCCTCGGCTAGCAGCTGGGGTCAGCACCCCCAGCCAGGCTGGAAATGAATTCCATGTAGCCGCTGAGACGAGAGCAGAGCGGGGTTCCCACAGCTCCCGGGACTCTTGCTCTTTCCAAACCCAGCCCCGTCTTCCCAGCCGAAAGGAACCCGGTGGAACTGAAGGCTCAGAGGTTCCCTGCACTCAGAGGCCTCCGCCGGGTCACGTCTGCAGCGCTCGAACCCGCCACCTCTGGGCCTAGAAGCCAGAGCTTCCGCTGGCCAGACGAAAAGGCCCGTCTCCAGTCGCCGCAGTCCCTGCGCGAGCCAGCCACGTGCGGGACGCCGAGAGCCACGTTAGCCCAGCTGCCGACGCGCTCCTCCCGTCGCTTCACTTGGGATCTCCTAGCTAGATGGAGCCCGGCGGACGGGGGCAGCCTACCTCAGAGCCGTAGGTCTGGGCGACGTGGCACAGCATGAGGAAGGAGATGTCAAACAGCAGGGCCCTGACGGAGGCCGCTTTGGCTGTGGGGGAGAAACCAAGCTGTTACCCTCCTGCTGAGACTGCGCTGCCAGGGGGGCAGCTGGGACCAGTCTCTCCCTCCCTCTCTTTTTATCCCCCAAGGAGATTCCCATCCCCAGCTCGTGTCCAATCCAGGCCCCAGTGGGATGCTGCGGAGGGACCCCCGTCGCAGGCTGCCTCCCCGGGCACCCAGAGCTCCCACCAGCAGGGAGACGAACACGCCCAAGAACCTGCATCACCACTACGTGGCCATGGAGCCTGGGAACTAAACCTTCCCTCCGGCCAATGGAAGGTCAGAGCACCTCACGTCTTTAATCACATGCAAATTTATTCAGAATCCTTATCTTGGGTCCTGTGCTCAGACATCATCCCTTCCAAAGAGGGAGAGGCCCTGGCACTGGCAGCAGGCCAGGCTGCCCGAGGAAGGAAGGGGGCTCTCGGTCTCGCCTCCGGCCCGGAGTCCCCTGAACGGTGACTGAGCTGGGATGCGCTACAGGGTAACGTGTGATCCTGCCGGAGCAAATCAACGCCCCCTTGTGCAGCCAAGGGACAGTGCTCCCTGCTGTTACCCTATGGCCTTAACCCTTTCCGGCCAGGCACACTCTAGGAAAGGGCCCGGGCACCCAGGAGCAAGGGGATCCGCCCTTCAAGCTGCCGCATCTCTCTCACACTGACAGCCTTCGCCGCTGATGTGCTTGGTAAATTCATTCAGCCTGCAGAGAGGCAGAGAAAGAAGCGATGAAGCATCGGGCCAGCGGGTTCGGTCTGTGGCCGGTGAAACTGAAACCCCAGCACCCGCAGAGCAAGGCGGGCGCCCCCCCAGCCAGCTCCAAGCGTAGGCTCGGCTGCCTCGAATTGCTTAGCACATGCACTCCCACCTCAGCTGGCTCGCTGCGCGAGCGCAACCTCCCAATTCGATCTCATGGTTTTCAGTCCCCCTGGGGCCCGTGAGGGATTTCAGTGGGCGAGCAATGCTGCGGGGCTGTTGGGTTTCAGTCTCCTGGCAGGGGCAGGAGGCTTGGGGGCCTGGGTGGCATGTTTCCAGCACAGAAGGCGAACAAACCCCTGCACCCCAATCCGAGCTCGGTGCACCTGCAGGCCTGCCCAGAGGCTGCTGAAAAGCACGGACTGAAGACACGGCCGGGGACGTCGCTGTACAACTCCCGCTGCCGGGCCAGACAGATGTGCGGCCAAACCCGGCTGCATCGCTGCACCCAGAGCGTGACAGTGCACAAAAGCCAGAGCTTGATCCCTCCTCAGACTATCTCCTGGGTGTTTGCAGCCACCTGCTTCCCTCCTTTCGCTCCAAGGCAGGTCGGAGGCACAGCCATGCTGCCCGGCTGCTCCCACCCCCGCGATCACCCTGCCCAGTCTCTCTGCAGCCACTCACTTGATGAACTTCCGAGCAAACGATTTCAGCTTCCCCGTCGCAGCCGCAGCTGCCAGCAGCAGATCCAGGCTCTTCCCTGACAGCATGTGGCCCAAGACACCCAGCAGCCCCTCGGGGGATTTGGAGTGATCCGCATCCATGGTCTGGTGAAAAAGCCCCACGGTTTTATGAAGTATCAGAGGGGGGGTTAGTCTAGAAGGTGCCCTAGGACTCCTCGCCGCTAATGGTTTTATGAGGTGGCTTTAGATCTCAGGGCAGGACCGGAGTCTCTGATTGGCTCTCAATGATGCCACAGGCAAGTCAGCCACCATCAAAAGCCACGTGGTTCCAGTCCGTAGGAGAAAACGAGACTCCCAGCCCCCCCGGAGGAATAAGCCCTTCCAGGCAGCGTCTGCTCTCCTGGAGTGGCCAGACTTGCTCAGCTCCCACCCCTGGAGAG